CCAAATCAAAAGAACCTGTGCATCCCAATGTTCATAGCAGTACAATTTACAATAGCCAAGTGTTGGAAACAGCCTAAATGCCCATCAGTAGATGGTTGGATCAAAAAATTATGGTACATTTACACAATGGAATGCTACGCAGCAGAAAGAAAAAAAGAACTACTACACTTCACGAAAGCATGGATGGAACTAGAGAGCATTATGCTAAGTGAAATAAGCCAGGGGGCAAAGGACAGATACCATATCATCTCACCTATAAGTGGAACCTAACCAACAATACAAAGATGCAAGGAAAGTAAGACTAGCAACACTGAAAGAAAAACAAAACCAACAGAGAGAAGAGGGAAGGCAGGAGGGGTGGCGGAGGGGGGCGGAAAGGAAGGGAGAGGTCAAGTCAAGGAACATATAGCAAGGACTCATGGACAAAGCCAAAGTGGGGAAGGATTGAGGGAGGGAGAGGGGGAAGCAGGCAGGGGAAAGTGGTCGGGGGAAGGCGGAGAAAAAAATGTATTTGAGAAGAAATAAATAAATAAATAAATAAAATTAAGTTAAAAAATTTGATCTATTTTCTACATAAAACCAACTTTTTCTGTTAAGTGATAAAATATACCAAAAATAAGTTAAAATTACAGCCTTTTGAATAAATATTCTTTTACCTAAAAAAAATAAAACTGTTTTGAGCAGTGGAAAAAAATGTTTCAATAGGTGTATGGCATCAAATGGAGAGTACTTTGAAGGTGACTGAAGTTTAAACATGTAATAAATACACAATTATTCATAAATAAATTCTGGGTTTTTTGTTCCCCCACCCTTCCACAACAGGCTCAAATGTAGTAGAATGTCAAGTATATTAAAAACGTAAAGAGAGAGCACTGGACATAACATTTAGGAGATATTAAGGTAACTTTGCAAAAGTGGTTTCAGTAATGATTTAAATGGAAATTGCAGAAAAACGGGGTGGTAATTTGAGTGTTGTTAAAGAAAGATTGATTTAGATCAGGGAAAGAATGTGTTTGCACACTGAAGAATATTTAATATAGCATAATAGTTAAGGTATAAGCTTTGTAGACTTTGGCTCAAAACTCAGTTCTGCCACTTTCTAGCTGTGCAAACTTGGGCAAGTTGATTTTTCTGTGCCCCAATTTCCTTGAGTGAAAAATGGAGGAAATAATAGTATTTACCATATTGGATTGTTGTATTATACAAACTGATACATATAAGGTGCTCAATAGAGGGCTTGGCACAGAGTAGGTCTTCAATAAATGTTAACTATATTAGGTAAGGATAGTTGTATGGGCAAGAAAACCAAAAAAGAAAAAGCAATTGATGATAGAAAAGAAGGAAGTTGATGGAACAACTTCTCAGAGGGTATAGGAGAGAATGAATACTCTCCCACTAACTAGCTGTGTGATCTTGAGTAAGGTGGTTTACTTTTCTGTGCCTCAGTTTCCTTTCTATACAATGGAGATGAAAATAGTGCCTACATCACAAGATTATTGTGAGGCTTGAATAAAGTGATACATGAAACATACTTCCCCACTGGGAAAAACTCAAGGAGGACAGCAAATAGCTTAGAAGAAATCATGTGTGCCAACAAGACTGAAAGTTTTAAAAAAAAGTTCCAAGTGAAAATTTTTCACAATTTCACCATAGAGTAAAACAGTGCTATAAAATGTTGTGATGTTTTCTTTATAAGGTTAAACATTATTCTAGTGCTAAGAAATGTATTGTGATTTTTTTTTATTAAAGTGCACTGAAAAGACGTTTTATATTTAAGTAGTTTCAAATGTGTTTGAAGCCTTTTTTCAGATAATTATGTTACAAAGCAATGATTAGTATAAAATTAAGTTGTATTAGTTGATATAACTTCAGCAATAAGCTTACTAAGCTTTTTTTTAAAAGGAACATTCTATCCAAAGCATAAAAACATAAACCGTATTGATTGTGTTAAAATTAACAACAGAAGATTCATCTTCTTTACTAGAGTAAAATTTTAAGTAAAATAATTTTTAATTATTTTCTTTAAAAATGACTTCCTATCTTACTCACAAGAAAAATCAAAATATTTATAAGGTACTATATGATCGGGTCCTCTCTGTCTCTCTGACCACATGTCCTATCAGTCTCTTCCTCTCCACTCCAATAATGCTGTCCCTCTTGCTATTCCTTGAACATACCAAGCCTTTGCACATTCTACTTCTTGTGTCTAGAACACCATCCCCTCAGGTATTCTCACGGCTGGCTCTCTCACTTCATTCAGATATATTTTTAAATATCACTATATCAGAGGAATTTTCTTTAACTTCCCCATATTAAATATATCTCCCCAATCTTAAGTGCATTATATTTTTTCTCCCACCTTATCCCCACCCAACAAATACCTTTATTGTTTATTGGCTTTCCCCTTCACCAATACACCCTCATTAAAATATAATCTCCAAAAGTGCAAGAAGCTTTGTTTTGTTCATTGCTAAAATTCTGCAGTCTGTGCAGCAATGGCACAGAGCAGATTCTTACTAAGTGTTTATTAAATGAATTAATTAATGAATATCATAACACAAAGTACTTTTGTTTTGATGCCTTTGTTTATCACAACTCCTTACCCTTGAAGACTGAGCAACAACTAGGAAGGAACTGAGACCAAAGTAAATGCATAGGCAAGCTGTTCTAGTCTAGGCAAGTACAGCCTAGTCCATCAAATATAAACATTTGAGAAGGGAACTGGGGAGCCAACACTACTTCTACTTCCACTCTCTACTACAGAAAGAGAGCACAAAGTGTCTTCTTTACAATTATCCCTCATGAAACCCATTTGCATCCTAGTAGATAAAAATTCTCCACAACCCCATGAAACAGAATGAATAACTGTAAACAATTTAAATTGCTTTGGGGAAGCCACTCGAAGCCCTTGGAAAAGGATTTCTATCGCTTGTCTGTGGTACTTGTTAGTGGATTCACAAACCATTCATTGTCCTAAGAAGAAAATAACCATGTTTCAGGAATGGAATTTTATGACAGCTAAGAACTGCCTAGTTTCCATATCCTACAACTAGAAACTCTCCCAAAGAAAAACAAAACCAACATGAACACAAAGGGACAATCAAGTGTTAAAATGGAATCATTGCTGTTTCTAACATATCCCATGCATACCAACTATAGGAGGCTGGCTATAGTACCAACACATAGTATCTTCTTCACCCTTCACACATGGGTGTGGATAGTGAGTTCAGTGGGTATGACGTATACAAGTGACTCTCAGCTCTGCGACAAGATTGTACTCCCACTGACCAAAGCAATCAAGAGAGTTCCAGTTGAATTAATGTTTCTTTTGTTTTTAGGAGCCCATAGTCCAGTGACTTTAGGGAGAAATAACTCTAAGTGAGGTTTTCTTGTTTATCTGAATCCCATGGACCCAATGATATGGCTGTTCAGAACAAGGCTGCTTTGAGGTTTGGAAAATCAATTGAGAAAGGGGATGAAGGAAGGTGCTTTAGTTAAGTGTTGCCTAGGAACCTAGAACTAACACATGCCCTTGATGAGAGTTGGCACTGGGGATGCAATGAAACCCAACACATTAAAGAAGGGAGGGGCTCTGTGACAGCTGAACTGGCAAATTGCATAACACTGGGAGCTGTGGCATTCTATTGACTGAATAGAAACTTTCGGAGTGAAATACTAGCCCTAAAACCTCAAACAACACATTTCCATCTCTTTAACCTGTAGGATATCATTAGGCTCCACCCAGTCCTGCCACCCTCCCTAAACAGAAATATGAGAGAGACAAACACAAAAGAGATGTCACCTGTCCACCTGAGGCCATCTAACAAGTCTCCGCCACACCTGTTCTTCTACTTAACATCAGAAGGGAACTGGTGAAACCCTCCTTGTCAACACAATCTTCCTGACCAGACATGGGCAAGAGAATAGCAGATCACCCAAGGTGGCCTTAGCTTCCCTGTTTAAGCATACTGCCCTTCTCCTTTTGCATGTCATTTTGACTTGAGTTCTTATCTCTTCCAGCTGGATCTCCCAGCCGCTTGAGCTTGGGTATATGGATGCCTGATACTAAAGGATAGACAATAAACAGAAACCATTGAAACTTTGATATGATGGATGCTTGGTAAATACTTGAATCAAGTTCAACATTCATCTCTATATCCTAAGAAGAAACCTTGGCCATCAATCTGTTAAGAAAGGAGTCAGTGATACCACTCCGCCTGGTCTTGACATATTAATAGATACTGCTCAGCAGTGGGATCAGCCAGCCTCAGGCAATGAATTTAGCCTTCAAATAAATTAGCATACAAATAAGTATTTGTAGAATGAATGATTTTTTTTTCAAGTCATCTGCATTGCTATGGCACCTCTTAGGAAACAAAAATTTTTCCATTCAGCTAAAACTGCTAATTGACTGCAGTTAACTAATGTGCAACTTGAGGGTGCACATTTTAAGAATCAACTGGATATTAGAACCAAGTTTGGAAGTTGGTATGAGGGAGAAAAAGCTATCCTTTCCATACAAATTCCCCCAACACTCAGTGTCATAGTAAGGCGAGTCACCGTTCTCCTCGAAATTTAATTTCCAGTACAGATTTCCCTCAACTGAACTAGTGCACTGTCCCTTTAAGAAGCCAGGCAAGATGGAGCCCTCCCAACTCACAGCTAGGGGCTTTAAGCAACCTGATAAGGATGCTGGAGTGTGACAAAAAGAGAGAACGCCTGGAGGGGGTAAGTCCAGGCTCTAATGACCTGAGGGGAAATCGAGTCTCTAACCATACAAACATCAAACTCTGAGCGCGCCTATTCCGTGGATAGCAGCTCCCCTAGCGCCACCCCTCCTCCCCTTCCCCCCCTTTCTTACCCCACCCTGCTCCACCCTCCGGATCTTCCTTGAAAGAGTCTCCTTCTATAAGGTGGCTCCTTCGCCGCCCAGCGGAGACCCCAGTGAGAGGGGTAAAAGGGAGGGAAAGAGGTGGGTAGGCAAAATGAAAGAGACTTACTTTCGGATTCTGCGCCTCCGAAGGCATCCTCTCCACCCAGCCTGGGGCCAGGGCCAACGGACGGGGCGGGGCTGGGGTTGAGCTGACGGACTCGGGGTCCTCACTCCCTCGTACTACAAACCTAGTTCAGTGGAGAGTTAGAGGGAATGGGCACCGACGAGGGCCGATATATACTGGATTTTAATGATCTCCAAAGGAGACAGAAGGGTTTGAGAGAGTTGACCGTGGGTAGGAGTGGAGGTGAGATCTAAAACCCTCCTTTTTCTCCCTTTCTGGCTAGCTTTCTCCGCCCGGCATTAGCGCTATCAGGGGCAATGGTTTTCTTTTTTCTTCCTTTTGGTTTCTCCCAGCTGCCGGTCCCAGACCCCACCCAGCGGCTCCACCCCATCCACTGCTACACATTCTGTCAATCACCAGCCCCTTTAAAGCTGCATCGCACAACTTGGGTTTTCGTTCGTCTTTGGCGGGCAGACAGAATCACGGGGCTTCTGGCCTGTCCTACAATGCCTCCGACCTTTCTGCTGAGTTTAGGAAGCTGAGGTTAGTTGCTCCTGGAAGCTTACCCTCCCCCTCTGCCCCGAAGCTTTCACAGTCTGCTCCACCCAAAGTCCTTCCGGGCCGGCCAAGCCACGCCACAACCAACTCCATCTCCTTTCTTTACTTTGTTTCTCATAGAAAGTGGTTTCCCTAGGCTGCCAGATAGCCAAGAAAGTTTCTGCAGCGTCCTGTCTGGCGCCGCCCACTTCCTTACAGTTTCTGGACTGAGGTGGCTATAGCAGATCTCCTGCCTCTGGGGCCTGTCGGTTTGGCCTGACCCAGTATACTCAGTCTTCTCTACCTCTCATCTGTATTAAGTCTTCACGTTTCGGACCACAATAGAGGGAGAGAAGGTAGGGGTTCCCAGAAATGTGCTTCATGCCTCTAACTCACCCAAAATGACAGTCCAACACCACCACCCCACTCCATAAGTAAGCAGAAAAGGGCCTTGAGGTCCCATCCACAATTAGTGGAACTCCAAAATGATCCATCAGAAATCATATGTAATACCATTCTCCATTTCAGTTAATGGCAACAACCTGGTTGCTCCGTGCAAAAATCATTGATCCATGCTTGGCTCCCTCTTTTTCTCTCATACTTCACATCCAATTCTTCAAGAAATCCTGTTGACTCTATCTGAAAATTATGTCCAGAATCTGACCAATTCTCACCATTTCCACTAATACCACCCTGGCTCCAGCTGCCATCTTTAGATCCTGCCCCTGCCTATCCATTTGACTTGATTTATAAAAACCTTGTTCAAAAAAATAAAAATATACTTTTTTCACTCTCCACTAGCCACATTGATCTCCCTTTTATTCGATGTGCTAAAATCTGTCTGACCTCAGAGACTTTGCACTCCCTTTTATTTCTATCTGGTTCTACCCATGGCTCCAATATCATTTAGATTTCAAGAAAGCTTCCCTTGACCACACAGAGTAAAGTAACCCATGTCCCAGGCACTCTCTGTGACCTTACCCCATTTTATTTTTATCATAGCACTGATTACAATCTAAAACAATCTCATATGTGTGTTTGCTTCTGTGGTAAAGTATCTCTCCCACTAATCTCAGTAAGGGCAGGGACTTCATCTCTTTGTTCTCTGCTCTAAACTCAGCATACTGAACAGTGGCTACCGTATAGTAGGGACTCAATATTTATTGAAAGAATGATGGAAGGTAGTATATTCTGGGATGTATCTGGGTGTTATCACTTTTTAAAACAACATTCAAATAAAAAATGAAGACAACAAGAGACACACCTGTTATGAACCACTTTCCCCATCTGGATACCTTGCCTGTGAGCTGAGTTAGCAGTGATATTTGCAGCAGTGGCAGTATACTTTTATATTGGCTCTTATGGTTTGCAAGTGATTGCTGGTGGTTGACTTTAATGTCCTTAGTTTTGTCAAGTCAGTGTTAGAGAGCATAGTTCTTGAGGGCCTCCTTGTCTCTAGATGTGTTTCTTCCTTCAGAGTCAGAATATCTATATATGCTCTCTCATGCCCCCAAGGATGTATCAACGAATTTTATTCTTACAGCCTTCCCATGAAGTAGTTATTATTATCCTCATTTTACAAGTGAAAAAACCAAAGCCCAAGAAGTTAGAGTGACTTGACAAAAATCACATCCTTAGGAAACGGTAAAGCTCGGATTTGAACCCAGGTAGTTATAGCTCCAGATATATACACCTTCCCATTACACCATAACCTTCTGGTCAGTCATGATATTGAGAAGAACAGACACCCCAGTTTTCTGGATGTTAATTGGTTAAAGATGGAAGGGAAGCAACTGTAATTAGGGACATTTATTACATAAAACTAAGGGTAGTTTGAGCAATTTTCTAAGCAATGACCTTGATATGAGTCATATGAAGCAGTCACTTCCCCTTTACAATGGAAGGATCTAGGGCTATTTAGCCTCGAGAAGAGAAAACTTAGGGTAAGAACTCTGTCTTCTAGACTTACCTTAAACTATCATTGACATGTCCTTAATTGTTAATCAATTGTGTGTCCTAACTCAGCTATCGGCCTGATTATAAAACCTACTCAACTTGGCCAAATTTTCTGGACTTCTGGTCATGGATGACACATATCTCTTGCTAGGTTGCTACCTATACCTAAGCATGATATCATAGGGAGGTTTGAAAGATACCATGGTTGTATTCTCAGCACAGTGTTAAGCACTGTGGAACATAGGCAAAGAAAGATCCACAGAGATAAAGGTCAGAAGTTTCCTATAACCCAGTACTACCACTTATTTGCTGTGTGAGTATATGTAAGACTATATGCAAGAACTTCATATTTTTCATCAAACAATGAAGTTTAACTAATTGTTGCCAAAGGCTCCTTCTATCTCAGAAATTCTGTCAGTTCCCCTTGGTTAGCTTACTGTCAGAAAGTTATTTTTTTAAATACTTTATTTTTTTTAGAGAGAGAGGGAAAAGGAGAGAGAAAGAGAGGGAGGGAAACATCAATGTGCAAGAGAAACAGCAGTTGGTTGCCTCACACACACCCCCAGCCAGGGACCTGGCCTGCAACCCAGGCATGTGCCCTGATGGGATTCAAACTGGGTGACCTTTCAGTTTGTGAGACAATGCCCAACCCACTGAGCCACACCAGTTAGGACTGATGTCAGAAACTTTTTATTATAGCAAAGGGCTTGGAATATCAATTTTCTGGGAAAAGTGAATACATTCCCTTAATTGCATTCCCCTTGATTAGATTTTAGTAGATATCACATAGGATATAGTAGATATCCAATTAACAAGGATTTACCTTCTTTGGAAGTGGTTTGAAACCATGGGTTGTTCTGTAATGGCTATGCATATCATATGCAAACCATCTCCATTGGCCATAATAACTTATTCCAGAGGAAGATCCCTGATCCAACTGGGACAATCAGTTTCTCTCTTCCAAGCACATGGCTTGAAAGAAGACCCACAAATTGCTCTTGAACCCAGAGCTGACCTTATTCCTGCCATTTCTTAGTCAACGTTTCCTTTAACTCTGAAATATCCCATTATCTTTTTTTAATTTTTCTTTTAGATTTTTCTTTTATTTATTTTTAGAAAGAGTGTAAAGGAGTGAGAAAGAGAGGGAGAGAAATATCAGTGTGAGAAGAGAAACATCGATTGGTTGCCTCTTGTACTTGCCCCGATCAGGAACTGAACCCACAACCCAGGCATGTACCCTGACCAGGAATTGAACTAGCAACCTTTCACTTTGCAGGATGACACCCAACCAACTGAGCCACACGGGCCAGGGCTGTCCCACTATCTTTCAAATAAATTCTCTGTTCCCCTTTTTTTTATTTTTATTATTTATACAAGCCAGAGCATAATTCCTAATTACTTCTATATAATCATCATGTGCCTGTCAAAAACTTGGTATTCAATACTGGTTATAACAGGTATTTAATTGAACCCAGTTTTTTGCCAGGCATATAGTGAGTGTATAGCGGTAAATAAGAAAATGAACAAGCTCTTCCCCACCAAGTCATTGTCCAGACCTAACCCATATCCTCTCTTTTCTATGCCTCCATTACTTCCATGTTTTCTTAGAACATAGTTATATAGGTGTTATTTTACTAGACTGTACAAGCTCCTTGGGATTATGGTCTGTGTCTTTTTCATCTTCGAATCTTTTCCAGTGACTACCATAAGATTTTACATATAATTTTTGCATATAATTCTGGAATAATACATTCCAGGCATGCTGAAATGAATTCAGCTCCTCAGTACACATGGGACCAGTCAGCCATGTAGCAACCAAAAAAACCTCCCAGATATAAAAAGAGCTGTGGTGTTGTGGAAGGAAGACTGGATTTTGAATAAAACTTTCAGTTCCAAGTTTGTCATTCTCTAGCTATCTTACTTGAGGCAAGTTACCTAACCCCTCTGAGCTTCAGCTTCTTCACCAAAAAAAAAAAAAAAAACCCCACAGGAGACAATAGTAATACTAATCTTAAGTTCCTCTATGCATACCCTAAGATGGCTAAGGAAGTAAAGACTGACCACTTCCATGTTGCTAAATCCAATGGCCACTTTCAGTCCCTAATTCACCTTATCTTTCTGCACCACTTGGCATAGTTGACCACTGTCACATTCTTGAAGCGGTGTGTTTTTTTTTCTCTTGGTTTCTATGTGATAATAGTTCCATGGTTTTACTTTTACTTCACTGACTGCTCCATTTTAGTCTCTTTTCCCCTTCCTGTAAGTTGAAATATTAGAGTGGTTCAAGGCTTCTCCTTAACCCTTTTTTCTCTTTTTTATCTCTGTTCTCTCTCTAAGTGATCGTATTCATTTCTGTAGCTCTGACTTACAAGCTGATGAACACCTAAGTCCATGTTTCAAGATCAAACCTCTCTAAACTCTAGGTCCATATATTGATTCCCTCTGACCCTTAGTTTTCTCATCTGTAAAATTAGGACAATAATAGCACCCACCTCAGGAGGATTCTTGCCACCTCTTCTTCAGATTAATCTTTTTAAAAAGCCAACCAGACCATGCTGTTCTTAATG